AGAGGGAGGGATATTACAACATATGTGATTATTGATCAATAATTACTGTATACCTAATACTTATTATGCACTAAATATTCATGCTATAAAACCAAACCTCACAACTCATTCAGAAGAACTTTTGAATGGAGTTAGGCACCTTTGATGTCTGAGTAAAAATACTTTAATTCACACGCCTAAATACAATTACACTAATGGTAACCAGATACTTGTGAAAAATCTTTCTACATTAAGTACATGTTTCATCTTCTGGTGTTGTGTATCAACAGGCACCACAAAGTTCATCAGTTTCTGAATGACACAAATATCAGGTCATATTGTGTTCTTGGCCCTGCACCTGTTTGCATGTAAAACTACAGTAATGTATTATAATTCTCAAAGCAGGCAAATAAATCCAAATAAGATACACCTCTCCACCCTAAGATCGACATTAGACATGTCTATTTTGTTCATTTAGATCAATCCATGCTCAGCTAAGGGGGTGTTTAGGTAATAGTACTACACTAATACAACAGCATACATCCATGTTTATCTGAACCTGTTTGACCCTGATGAACTTTGAACTGTTGTGACCTCATGCCTCAAACTCATGCACCATTGAGGCAGTAACTGGGCCTTTGAAGCAGTTTTGGGTTTCACTGGAAAACAAACCTGGGGCTATCTATATCCCATCAATGGCATCCCTCAGCACCTTTTAGGGGACCTGTGTAGTGGACCCATAAAGAGTTCTTTATCCCTCACTAATTCAACAGAAGCAGACAAGTAATTCTGTCTTCAAGAATTTGTGTATTTCAACACTGGAGACCTGTTGAAACCAGCAAAAGTCAGAAAAACAATTGACCCTGATGATCAGATTGTAGATAATGTTTGCCTGTAGCTAATAAAACAGCACATGTACTTGACTGTCTGAAACAGATCTAGTTCTCTAGTCAATTCCAGCAGGATAAGATACAAAAAACAGTTGAGAGCTTTTGTCCCATTCTAGTTATGATGTGATAAGAAATTGATTGTACCTGTTTAATCTCAGAGTATTGATGTACAGGTGTTAACTCTTTACCTGGAAATCAGCTTAATGACCTTAAATCTCAAAGATTCAGCTACAATTTTAAAGTTACCTTGAATATCTTGCCCATTGCATGATACAAAATTTTTTTTACTGAAGTTCAGAAAATCTTTATAAACCATGAAACACTGAATCTTGTTAACATATGCCCTTTATTATTGTGAATGAGATTTAAATCACATGCATTACACATTGTATGACAGTTGTAGAGATAGTGTAAAGATGACCACCCTGAGGTAAACACAACTTTCTTTTAAAAGTCTGGACTTTTTCATTAAATCAAAACCGAACTGTTTTTGAGCAGTTTTTCATTATAGTTCCCAGATATGTAAAAATGATTTCATGATTTCTGATATTTTGCTCAGTTCAACAAGAACAAATGTAAATGGACAGGTGGAGCAGAGCAACACTTGTTACTGGTTCATTACACACAATGAAGGAGTGAAAATGATTCTGATTACAACAGAGAACAGAAAACTGATTCAGTTCCACCTATAGCCATATGCAGTATTTCAAATATTCCGGAATAAACACTTCAAAAACAGATTGTCTAAACATTTTTTTTCATTCATTTTTTTTCTTGCACATTTTGACATTTTGACATAAAGCTGGAATAAAATAAGAAGATATTTCATCAAGACAAACAACATCAAACTAATTATTTAAAAGTCTATGACACAGTGACTGACCCTACAATAGCTTGCCAACTATAGGTTTTTTTAAGCAGTCAACCATCCTAATGCTGTCCACACCTTACTGACTCAACTTGCACTTAATACTACAATGTATCATCTATAAGTTTTAAGAATTCATTCAAAACCAAATCAAGTTTTGATAAAACATGGTTTTGTTTTAGAGTGCACCTAATAAGGAGATCTGATGTGAGAGATGTGAAGTGATTGGTTTGTAACATGACTTGTTACGGGAGATTTGAAGTGATTGTAACATGACTTGTTATGGGAGATTTGAAGTGATTGTAACATGGCTTGTTATGGGAGATTTGAAGTGATTGTAACACGACTTGTTACGGGAGATTTGAAGTGATTGTAACATGACTTGTTATGGGAGATTTGAAGTGATTGTAACACGACTTGTTATGGGAGATTTGAAGTGATTGTGACATGACTTGTTATGGGAGATGTGAAGTGATTGTAACATGACTTGTTACGGGAGATTTGAAGTGATTGTAACATGACTTGTTACGGGAGATTTGAAGTGATTGTGACATGACTTGTTATGGGAGATTTGAAGTGATTGTGACATGACTTGTTATGGGAGATGTGAAGTGATTGTAACATGACTTGTTACTGGAGATTTGAAGTGATTGTAACATGACTTGTTACGGGAGATTTGAAGTGATTGTGACATGGCTTGTCATGGGAGATTTGAAGTGATTGTAACATGGCTTGTCATGGGAGATTTGAAGTGATTGTAACATGGCTTGTCATGGGAGATGTGAAGTGATTGTGACATGGCTTGTCATGGGAGATGTGAAGTGATTGTGACATGGCTTGTCATGGGAGATTTGAAGTGATTGTAACATGACTTGTTACGGGAGATGTGAAGTGATTGTAACATGACTTGTTACGGGAGATTTGAAGTGATTGTAACATGACTTGTTATGGGAGATTTGAAGTGATTGTAACATGGCTTGTTATGGGAGATTTGAAGTGATTGTAACATGACTTGTTATGGGAGATTTGAAGTGATTGTAACATGACTTGTTATGGGAGATTTGAAGTGATTGTAACATGACTTGTTATGGGAGATGTGAAGTGATTGTAACACGACTTGTTATGGGAGATGTGAAGTGATTGTAACATGACTTGTTGTGGGAGATTTGAAGTGATTGTAACATGACTTGTTATGGGAGATTTGAAGTGATTGTAACATGACTTGTTATGGGAGATGTGAAGTGATTGTAACACGACTTGTTATGGGAGATGTGAAGTGATTGTAACATGACTTGTTGTGGGAGATTTGAAGTGATTGTAACATGACTTGTTACGAGAGATTTGAAGTGATTTTAACATGACTTGTTATGGGAGATGTGAAGTGATTGTAACACGACTTGTTATGGGAGATTTGAAGTGATTGTAACATGACTTGTTATGGGAGATGTGAAGTGATTGTAACACGACTTGTTATGGGAGATTTGAAGTGATTGTAACACGACTTGTTACGGGAGATTTGAAGTGATTGTGACATGACTTGTGGGAGATTTGAAGTGATTGTAACATGACTTGTTATGGGAGATGTGAAGTGATTGTAACATGACTTGTTACGGGAGATTTGAAGTGATTGTAACACGACTTGTTATGGGAGATGTGAAGTGATTGTAACATGACTTGTTGTGGGAGATTTGAAGTGATTGTAACATGACTTGTTACGAGAGATTTGAAGTGATTTTAACATGACTTGTTATGGGAGATGTGAAGTGATTGTAACACGACTTGTTATGGGAGATTTGAAGTGATTGTAACATGACTTGTTATGGGAGATGTGAAGTGATTGTAACACGACTTGTTATGGGAGATTTGAAGTGATTGTAACACGACTTGTTACGGGAGATTTGAAGTGATTGTGACATGACTTGTGGGAGATTTGAAGTGATTGTAACATGACTTGTTATGGGAGATGTGAAGTGATTGTAACATGACTTGTTACGGGAGATTTGAAGTGATTGTAACACGACTTGTTATGGGAGATGTGAAGTGATTGTGACATGACTTGTTATGGGAGATTTGAAGAGATTGTAACATGACTTGTTATGGGAGATGTGAAGTGATTGTAACATGACTTGTTATGGGAGATTTGAAGTGATTGTAACATGGCTTGTTATGGGAGATTTTGAGAATAGTTTTAGATATGGAATGCTATAGAATATTTAAAGAATAATTGGAAATTTGGAGTAGAAATAGGCAGGTTTGGAATGAACTGATAGATCTGGTGTGTATTGGGAGATCTGAGTGTAGTTTTAGATCTAATGTAAATGGAAGATTTATAGTGTAGTTCGAAATCTGATGTGAAGTGGGAGATCTGGAGTGAAGTTTGAGATCTGTCATGAGTTGGAGATCTGGAGTGAAGTTTGAGATTCAAGTGTAGCTTGAGATCTGGAGTGAAGTTTGATATTCAAGTGTAGCTTGAGATCTGGTGTCTAGTTTGAGATCTGTCGTGAGTTGGAGATCTGAAGTGAAGTTTGATATGAAAGTCTAGCGTATGTGTATTTGGAGATTAAATACGAAGTGTATAGAAAGGTTTGAAGTGTTGTGGGAGATCTTAGACATCTGAAGTGTAGTGGGAGATTCAGAGTGTAGTTGGAACTTGAGTATGCAAATGAAAAGTTCATGTAAAATATATTAACACTCCAGACTAACCTTGACCCATTTCTGCAATGACATTTTACATACAAGCAGTTTTCACCTCTGATATTTAACTGAAAGTCGTTAATTAAAAATTTGGTAGTTATACAAATGTCTCCGAGTACTTTAGTCTGAAGCAGACATATTAAACTAAATCAAGACGATACATGTAGCAACGCAGAAATGGTACCTCTATCACATGTACATATAGGGTTAAACAATCGTTGGACAAGACAAGATACTAATTGTATCATGGACATTCAATATACAGTCTTATTTATACGGAGTAAGATACAAGTGCTATAGTAATAATTAAGGTTACCCTTTAATATCATTCAGATCTTTACGAGGAAATGTCATTCACAAGACTAATCCATTGTGTAGCCTGTAAGTGATTCTACTAGAAGTAGGATAAATATAGCTAACAAAATAATCTCATCTATTAGGAGTCAAGACAGAAGGTGAACCATACACTTTGTGAAGTTTAAAACATCTCTAGTAACATCAATTCAAATATCATGGTTTTTTTCTAAACTTTCTAAAACGTGTGTTCACAAAGAATTCGTCAGACATACCTATTTGGCAGTTTTTCTTGCGTCGGATGTTAATGACTGTTTTGTTGACGACGGAGAAGATGCTGACTTCCATCTGAATGAGGAAATGCACCTCTCTGTTGAGTCGTCCTGTACAGGGAACCTTCACGTGAAACACTGTCAAATATAAAACAATATTCCTTATAAGATATTTTCAAAGTTTCAGTATGTAAATCAGAAAACATATAAATAACCTCTTTAAAAGAAAAAATTACGGGGTGTGTGAGGGGGTCCCCTCACATGGCTGCTCCCCTCCTCACATCCTTGTAACATAACTCACCTGAGAGAAAATTGGTGACTTTGCCCCTTACACCCCCTTCCCATCCTCACATCCTTGTAACATAACTCACCTGAGAGAAAATTGGTGACTTTGCCCTTACACCCCTCTTCCCATCCTCACATCCTTGTAACATAACTCACCTAGGAAAGTATTTGTGACCTTGCCCCTCACAAATCCCTCCCCATCATAACATCCTTGTGATAAACCTCATCTTAGGAAATATTTGGGACTTTTCCCCTCAAACACCCCTTCCCATCATAACATCCTTGTGATAAACCTCATCTTAGGAAATATTTGGGACTTTTCCCCTCAAACACCCCTTCCCATCATAACATCCTTGTGATAAACCTCATCTTAGGAAATATTTGGGACTTTTCCCCTCAAACACCCCTTCCCATCCTCACATCCTTGTAACATAACTCACCTGAGAGAAAATTGGTGACTTTGCCCTTACACCCCTCTTCCCATCCTCACATCCTTGTAACATAACTCACCTAGGAAAGTATTTGTGACCTTGCCCCTCACACATCCCTCCCCATCATAACATCCTTGTGATAAACCTCATCTTAGGAAATATTTGGGACTTTTCCCATCAAACACCCTTTCCCATCCTCACATCCTTGTAGTGTAACTCACCTGAGAGAGTATTTGGGACTTTTCCCCTCAAACACCCCTCCCCATCCTCACATCCTTGTAGTGTAACTCACCTGAGAGAGTATTTGGGACTTTTCCCCTCAAACACCCCTCCCCATCCTCACATCCTTGTAGTGTAACTCACCTGAGAGAGTATTTGGGACTTTTCTCCTCAAACACCCCTCCCCATCCTCACATCCTTGTAGTGTAACTCACCTGAGAGAGTATTTGGGACTTTTCCCCTCAAACACCCCTCCCCATCCTCACATCCTTGTAGTGTAACTCACCTGAGAGAGTATTTGGGACTTTGCCCCTTACACCCCCCTTCCCATCCTCACACCCTTGTAGTGTAACTCACCTGAGAGAGTATTTGGGACTTTGCCCCTTACACCCCCCTTCCCATCCTCACACCCTTGTAGTGTAACTCACCTGAGAGAGTATTTGGGACTTTGCCCTCACTGCTAATGTTAGCAACAGGTGGCAACATGGCCCTCGGATTAGACGTGTTTGTTCTCAAACTGTAAAACATTATCTGAAAAAAAAGAAGCATTTGTTGTTAACAAATGTCGTAGAATAGGGTTAAACACAGAGAGGAATATCCTTGAAATTCCAGGGGTTATGATGACTATAAGTGTAGAGATCATTAGTGATAGTAACCCCTAGGACTTCGAGGTTGACAGAGGATAAAAGTCACATACAAATGTAGATATATTATGGAATTATAGATGAAAGGAAAAATGAAAATTTAACATGTAGGGATCTATCAGTACATCTCAATACCTGACGGTAAAACTGACCATCGAAAATACACCTTCTTACCCAGAACTATACATGCATTGAATACTGACCATCGAAAATACTCCTTCTTACCCAGAACTACACAAGAATTGAATACTGACCATCGAAAATACTCCTTCTTACCAAGAACTATACAAGAATGGATTAAACTCCTGGCAGATCTGGTAACTGATAACACCTTGGATATCTTTAAATTTAATCTTTCCAAAAGCTAGAATCCTCTGTCTTACTTTCCATACAAACAACCATCCTTCATCTTATAATGACCTGATACCTAGTATGTTGAGGTAGGTCAATTATTTGGTAGGTGTTAAAGCAGAGAGCTGTAATGCTTGAGGTAGTTTGTGGTCCAGAATTTACTGAAGCAAGCTATTCTGAGTGGACCAGGATCTGACTAATCAAAGTTCTCATAGACTAACACTGTACCACTCAAGACAAGACGGACAAGACAAGAAATACAAACAGCCACTATGGGATTCAGATTATGATCAAGAAGGACATACCTCCACTGTAGGACTTAGACTGGGGCCCAGATAGACAAACAGCCACTGACAGACACAGACTAGGGCCAAGAAAGACAAACAGCTACTACTGGAATCAGAGTTGGGCCCAGAGAGACAAACAGTCACTGATAGACACAGACTCGGGCCAAGAAAGACAAACAGCTACTACTGGAATCAGAGTTGGGCCCAGAAGGACAAACAGCCATTACTGGACATTGGTCCAGATAGACAGTCACTACTTGACTCAGACTTGGGCCCAAAAGGACAAACAGCCATTACTGGACTCAGACTTGGGCCCAGAAAGGCAAATAGCTACTTCTGGGCTCAGACATTGGCCCAGATAGACAAACAGCCACTGACAGACACAGACTAGGGCCAAGAAAGACAAACAGCTACTACTGGAATCAGAGTTGGGCCCAGAAAGACAAACAGCTACTAATGGACTCAGACTTGGGCCCAGAAGGACAAACAGCCATTACTGGACTCAGACTTGGGCCCAGAAGGACAAACAGCCATTACTGGACTCAGACTTGGGCCCAGAAAGGCAAATAGCTACTTCTGGGCTCAGACATTGGCCCAGATAGACAAACAGCCACTGACAGACACAGACTAGGGCCAAGAAAGACAAACAGCTACTACTGGAATCAGAGTTGGGCCCAGAAAGACAAACAGCTACTAATGGACTCAGACTTGGGCCAAGAAGGACAAACAGCCATTACTGGACATTGGTCCAGATAGACAGTCACTACTTGACTCAGACTTGGGCCCAAAAGGACAAACAGCCATTACTGGACATTGGTCCAGATAGACAGTCACTACTTGACTCAGACTTGGGCCCAAAAGGACAAACAGCCATTACTGGACTCAGACTTGGGCCCAGAAAGGCAAATAGCTACTTCTGGGCTCAGACATTGGCCCAGATAGACAAACAGCCACTGACAGACACAGACTAGGGCCAAGAAAGACAAACAGCTACTACTGGAATCAGAGTTGGGCCCAGAAAGACAAACAGCTACTAATGGACTCAGACTTGGGCCAAGAAGGACAAACAGCCATTACTGGACTCAGACATGGGCCCAGAAAGTCAAACAGCAACTGATGGATTAAGATCTTACCTGCTGACGAATACTCTGCCATGTAAAGTAGATCTTGTCTATGTTGGGTTGTATCAGAAGTTCAAATGATAAAGCATAGTCATTGATGATCCCATTTCTGACATAGTACAGCTCGGCATTGATGCCTGTAATGATAAAATTATCCAAAGTCAGTGAAATAATCAATGTTTTCTAACTTCAAATACAACAAACAAAAACATACTTTTGATCAATGATTTCAACACTGATATACTATACACTACTTTCAAATTAATCTTTTAATCACCGTACTGATACTAATAATTAACTTTGCCAGAAGGAGGCTGCAACTCATGTGGGATGATGCTGTTTTTTCAATGAAAGTAATTACCCGAGGAAATAATATCGGAGAGAGAATTAAAGTCTCATCATGACTAAACATGGAAAGGACTTATTATACATGAAAACAAAAACATCAATTTACAATTAATATCAAATAAATAGGAAACAGAAAGCATAATACAAAGTGCCAACATTAATTGTCATATTTTGTAGTGAATGTATCATTTTCCTACGTACTGTAAAACCATTCATTTTTGAGGTGAATGGGTCATTTTCCTACGTACTGTAAAACAATTCATTTTTGTGGTGAATAGATCATTTTCCTATGTACGGTAAAACCATTCATTTTTGTGGTGAATGCATCATTTTCCTATGTACTGCAAAACCATTCATTTTTGTGGTGAATGGATTATTTTCCTATGTACTGTAAAACCATTCCTTTTTTGAGGCATGTTGATTGTTGTTAATTTTGTTGGTACCTTTAACCTACAAATTTATATATGTCCTTGAACTGCTAAATTAGTGTTAATGAAATAACTGGGTTATGCTTATCCATGTTCACAAATGTTTGTTCAAACAGGTTTTTTTTTGGAAAAGCAATGAATGTTAGTCTCCATATACATATTTTTACTGCATTAACATTACAGTTACTACAATCATTAATTTATTTAAGATAAATTTCTGGAACTTTTGAACAGTTTTAAAAACTGATGGTGCAATACAAAACCCCCTATCCTATCACTTTATGCAATGATATATCTTAATTTTGGAAAGCTTCAACAGTCAAATTGCTTCCCCTTGAATGTGACAAAGCATATATTTGAACTCTTCCAAGTAATGAGTAATATTGGAAAATATGAAATCATTAAATGTATTTAATTGGAAAATGTAAATATATCGAATTTTTGTGAAGTAATTTGTACAATATCAACTCCTAGATAAGAAGTAACCAAAATGGTGTATAACAACATTATAATCATCCTCGATATCCACATCATAACAAAAGTTTTGCAGTTTTGTGACTAATACTTCAGACAGTTGACAAGAAAAAATTATGAATACTAATTTTATGAGTTTTCAATTGAAAAGGGATATACCTCTGATAAAACTGAAGTAGCATCAAATGGTGTTAACTTTCATTAATGTGATGTGATAAATTCTTAAAATGGAGTTACATTCTACAGAAGTACCTTCAATTAATTGTCAAGTAAAAGTAGTAAAACAGGCCATAAACCTGAGAAAATGAGATAACAACAAATTATATAACAATATGTGCATTGTCAGCAATCTGTACAGAGTTACATTTCTTCACAAAATTCAATTACTGCTTTCAAAAAATGTGACAGCTGAGGTTACCCAAGCAAGAATTTCATAAACCTTATAGACAAAAAATCAATTATCAAGTTTTTAATTGGATGTCAATGTCCTGTAGCTGTTATTACTGGGAATTCTGGTATTGACAAAGCTGATTACAACACCTGTAGCATGATACACTCGAGAAGGCTATAGCTAAAGCTGGTCATAGTAGGTCTGAATGAAACATTTAACATGTATGTACAGGTACATAACATTTAGCCTTCTTTGATATTAATAATTTTTTGTTATGAGAAGGAAATTCATTTCACTAAAGCAATTATGAACACATAAATACATTTTCTGGTACCTGTATCATACATGATGTACAGATTGGAAAATTAAAAAAAAAATAAATAAAAACTATTTTAATTATGTACCAGTTAATATAATAAGTCAGAGTACACCAATGTTTGTTCATTAATTAATTCTTCTTATATTTCTTGGGCTCAAATATCCAACAGAACTGTGAATGTCATGATTCCAGGTGTGTTGGGTCTCATTTTCTCCTTTTTTTAAAACAATAATTACTAGGAACATATCATTATCTTAAGACCAAAACTTGCAGGAATTTCTATATTTATATAGTTGTAAACAAATTAGTTCTGCATTTCAGAGTCCTTAATTGTCATTTTGCCAGAATTCTTAGATAGGTAAGTTATATGAAAAATAAAAACAACATGGAGAAAAATGTGCTCCCCTAAGGCTTTACATAACTCAGGTGCTACACATTTCAAAACGGAAATATTTATGCAGCGTGATATTGGCTCAATATCAGCAGAAACAGAATTTAATTGAGAGAATTTTTGTCTATCCCTAGTAAACATAACAAATCTCCCAAAATGAAAACACTAATATCTTAAGTATTAAGACAATATTAGCTTAATATGACCAGCCCAGACATTATGATTTCACACTCGTATTTAAAATGGAAATCAAACATTGCCACAGGTCAAATTATATAGTGTTAGCTTAGTCTCAGTTTTCATACTTTGTGTCAATAATCTATCCGAGCCTGGGAAAATTTTATTTCTACACGATTGTCCATTTTCATTAAATCCCAGGTACACATCCACTGAGATAAACAAGGCCCGGGTATAAATCAAATGTGTGAATCAATTCATTAACCTTTCATTAACATGATTAGTGAACAGTTGAAATTTCAATATGTAAAAGGTTAAAGTTTCCTTAACTTAATGATTTGTTTAGTTGGATCAAAAGAAATCAATGAAAGAAGTTACAACATCAATGACTATGGAGGATACCAATATTTCAATAAATAGCAATAGTGACCTTGACCTAATTAAGCAACAGCCACTTAGAAGAGAAATTGCTAGAGTTTGGGCATACATTACCCGGATTACTCTAACCTCATCTTAATAAAATACTGTATATAGAACAAATTTCAATCTTTTTTCAATAGGGTAAAAACAAAAGGTGGGCTAGAGTTTGATTTCAACTTCATAACACTCTGCAGAGAGTTTTATGCGAGGGCAAATGAAATCCAGGGCGAACATTTCCCCATATTAACGGACACAAAACTAAAATGGCTGTATTTACTTCTTAATATACTGGGATAATCTCGGAAAGAATTTTGAAAGCCTTAAATAAAGTTGCACAGTCAGCTTTGAATAAATCATATGTAGACTATCCTGACCATGCCAAAGACAATATACCATAAATAACTGTGTAAGATTTATAATGAAAATCCCACAAAGCTTTATAACCTCACACAATAAACAATACTTGTGATGGACAAATGATGAAATCTACAGCAAAACACAGACTTAATGTCAAGGAAAAACACATAGTTTATGTAGGAGAACTGACAGGAAATTACCATAGATTTGAGAAACAGCAAAAATTCTCTATGGTTACTCGCCTTGTAAATAAAAAGGAAAAAAAAACATCTGAAATGCAATGTTATATGGCTTTCACCTGGGTGTTCAGCTTTCTCTTTCATTAGAATTATTTCATAGTAAATCTTACCTAGTGCTAGTATTATCATCATATGTAGACAAGTAAATATACACTCAACACTAGAACCCTTTCTGAAATCAACCATAAATATATCTCAGTCCAAAATAGTGTTTAGACTGAGACAATCGCTGAAAACGTAACAGCAAGTAGAAACAGACAATTTGAAAGATGCAAGACTTGGACAATTAATTGTGCTAAGACTATGTCAAATAAACAATTGTAAGATTTGAAAAAAAAAGCTTCTTAAACACTGATGAGACAATCTTAATAAGCATTAAACCATAGCCGTTAAGTCTCAAACCAAACGCTGTCTACTGACATGTCCATGCTAACTTCAGCCAATACACAACCAGACATGTTTTATTTTCCAGACTTCATGGTTTCTTTGACTTGATGTGTAACATGATGAAGAACAAACAAAACCTGCCATTTGTGAGCAGTCGTTCAACATGTAATTATAAGTGTTTTAAAACAGAATCCCATTATAATTGAAATGTTGTTCAATATCCCAAACAGGCTATTCTTTTTACTGAATGATGTTTCCAACCTTTCCAAACAGTTTTAAATACATCATCATGATTTAAGGCAATGTCAATTTTGATAGTTTGAATTCTAATTTATTTTCACAACAGAATTTTGTATAATTTGAATGGATTTAACAACGTGATTTAATTTTATTTTTGTTCCAACATGCCAAACGTTTCCCTGACCTACAAAGCACTATTTACCGTTAAAGGGTAATTACAGATCTGTTATAAACAGTCCCAGAAAAGCTTTAATTGATATCAACTACCCATGTTTACACTCTTTATAGGCAAACACAGAAACAATAAATTCAAATTGTAAATTAGATATTTTGAAAAAAGGCATTTTTCCTCTTATTTCTATGTTTCATAGTAATTTAAGTTAAATGATCATTCTACTGAACACTATCACATGACATAATTGCTTGCAGAATTTAGTAGGAGCCAGCTAACAGGAGGGTCTTTAGTCAATATACATATCTCTGAAATTGTATATAAGCTTGCATTTAAACTTCATGTCACAAGAAACATGTTTGTGAAACAATTGTATGTCCCTATTCTAGCTTTAATTGAAAATTTAGCCAAAAAGTAAAAATTGGAAAATGGCTGTTTTCTTGCATACATTTATACACCATACCATTTAACAATTATCTGAATATTTATGTTGCTGAGAAAATATGCAGGATATATTTTTTATAGCTGTGGAAGTTCACATCTTTCCCAATATCCATTAGAGTCCAATCTAGCCTTCTAGCTGTCACCACTGGCCACACATTCTGTCTGACAGAACAGTGTACATAAGTCTGACAGAATGGTGACACCCACAATATAAATTCTCTGTACACAGATTTATCAAGCCAGTGTGGTAATTTTCATTCAGCAGGTAGTATCCTGTCAACTCCTTGGCCAAATGTAGAATATTAAAGTATAAATTGATCTGATAGCAACTGATAATGTTGATAAAATCT